TCTGTCTGCGTCCAGAAACGGCCCCATCTGACGTCAACTTCTTTTAGCAAGCTTGAACCTGTTGGGCGACAATTTTTCTTCCCCTTTGGAGAGGCTGAAGAAATACAAGTTTCCAAGTATACCGAATGCTGGGTCGCCGGTGGCGAGGGCCACGAAATACAGCATTCCTCACCTCTCGAACTATCTCTCCATTTGGGAGGATTCCGCTCTGCACTCGGCTACCCAGGGGTTTAATGTGGGCACGATAACTGGTACACTAGAGGTGCGTCCTTTCCCTTTGAGAGCTCGGCCTGCCAAAATAAAACCAGAATTAGAAGATTGGGCTTCCCTATACCTATCATAATGTTTCAGCATTCTTAAGACCAAAGAGTCGGGCAGAGAAGGGGGGATCGCACTTCTTATGCTCTTTCCAAGTATGTCCTTCAGATGAAAAATAGTCTCAAAATTAGTATGTTCCAAATATGACTTTCGTGGAAAAGCCAAAGTCTTGGCCATTTGCCCTTTTTTTTTTTCTAGGAAAGCCTCGTGATTGAAGATAAACTAACGTATCAGTTTTTTGCTTTGACATTACTCAATTCCATCTGCAATAATGATCGAGTTAAATCGATGAGATTGGGAGAGAGGGAGCAGGTGAAGATTCCAAGCGTTGCCATCGCCCTGGATCTAGGCTAGCAACCCTTGTCGTCAAGTGCACTGCCGCCAGAAGGTCCTTGGCACACGGCGGCAAGGATCGCAACCTTGCCTATACCAAGGCTGAGCTTCCCCTCCCCCTTCTTTCTCTCTAGGTTTGTGATTTTTAAAATTTTTCTTTTTAAGCATGTCCCCGTTTACTTGTTTTCTTTCCCCATGTTAAACGTTTGATAGGAAAAGAGTGTTTGCGTGGCACTAACGTGGGCGATCAATTCAGCATTTCCATCCGAATTTTTGACAGAGGGATTAACATGAACAAAGAAACAGATAAATCAATGATATGACTGCACTAAAAGAAAATTTTAGGGATGATATTACATGAATCGAAAAAGTTCAAGAATTTACAATGGCTTTATCCCTCTAATCATTGCACAACCAGGTGAAATTTGGGTGGACTGAACATGTGACGTTCTGAATTTCGATCCATTTTCGGGATTTATGAAATGATTATCTCATCTATGCACTTTCAGTTAAATCTCACTCTGAATTGATCACTTATGAGAAGACTAACCGTTAGGGAATGGCTAATTAGGAATTAAGTACGCACGACCCAAGAACTCAACCCTGGATTGACACTTCGACCATAAGTATTGACGAGGGGATATTTTGGGTCATTATAGACCGATCCAAGGATGGTTATGGAATGATTTGCCAATATTATACAATTGGGTCGCAGGTGATTCCGTTTGGCTATTGTTTGAATTACAAACATTCCTAAACCAATTTCTAACGATTGTGTCCTTCGGAGCTAATAATTGACCCTCACAATTACATGACAACCGAGGTCACTATGGTTTGAGTAAACTTAAATGTAGCTTGATATCAAATCAACCACAGGTTGAATACGCATAACACCTAAAAGCCGTCCGTTAGTTTGAGATACACTAAAGTCGCAATTGATCAATTTTGGCTATGAATTGGAATCGGAACTTGGGTATCGAACTTTCAAGGATATCAAAACTATTATATTGGACGTTACCTCATTAAGCTCGCTTAGTTATCGGTTTGCTTGGAAATTCTTGGAAAAGTGAATTTTGGCCCGGGAATTGGAAAAGACCATTTTCACCCCTTAGTGTTCTAGGACTTCTTGATTGAGTGGAAGGGCATGTTGATTTTTGTACCCCCTAGTGATTCCGAATTTCATTGGACAGATTTGCCCTTCTTGCTTTGGTTATTTTCCTAATTGCCCTTTCTAGAAACCTTTTCAAGAATCAACCTTAACCTTCGGATCTTGACTTGGGGACCAAGAAGTGATCTCAACCCATAATTTGGATGATGTTATTCAGCCATTCTCTCTCTCCCCCATCATTTTTCAGATCAGCCATTTCTATCACTCACTCACTCTCTCACTCTCCATTTTCTTTTTGATTTGGTCAAGCCATCTCAGCCACCATCATGCCACCATCTAGCCCTCACCTCACCGTGAACCATCGCCCCTAGCCGCCGTTCAAGCCGTGTCAACCACCCTTCGCCGTTCCGCCGTCCGTCGTTCGCTAAAGTAGCTACTGCACTCCAGTGGCTGTTGCAGCTAGTTTAGTGACACTTTAGGCTTAGGATTAGTGGTAAGTAACTTCCTAAATCTTGATTAAGTTGATGGGTGACTAATTGACTAGTTTAGGGGCTGATTAGTGGTTGACTGTAGGCTAATTAGTGGCTAATTGTGGTCTGATCTAGGGTTGATTAGTGTATGGTTGATAGTGGATAATCATGTGGTTTAATGTTAATCATATGGCTTATGTGGTTGATCATGTCCTAATTGTTTGATCATGTGGTTTAGATTGGCTAATCATGTGATCATAGTTAATCATGTGGCTAATTGTGTAATTAATGTGGATCGTGTGGTTGTGATTGATGATTATGTGGTTAATTAGTTTAATCATGGCTGATTAAGCGATTAATGTGGATTGTGTGGTTGTGATTGATGATCATGTGGTTAATTAGTTTAATCATGGCTGATTAAGTGATTAATGTTTGATCGTGTGGTTGTGATTGATGATCATGTGGTTAATTAGTTTAATCATGGCTGATTAGGTGATCAATGTTTGATCATGTGGTTGTGATTGAGGATCATGTGGTTAATTAGTTTAATCATGGTTGATTAAGTGATTAATGTTTAATCGTGTGGCTGTGATGACAATCATGTGGCCGAAATAGATGATCAATGGTGGATCTTATGCTTGAACATTGATCTTGTGGCTTGATAATGGATCGTGTGGTTAATCATGGCTAATCTTGGTGTATCATGGCAATTTATGACTAGATAATGATGCTTGATATGGTTATGAGTGCGATTCATGACATGTTTGTTCGTAGGAAAATGCACGTCATAAACACTATGCATTAGCTAATTAAGAAAGATAAAGATTGGCAATGAGTGATTGTTTGCGTGCATGGCCATGACAAGTTCCGTCTAGGCGGGAGTTCTAGACGATGCCCAGCGGGAGTTCAAATGCCTTCTAGGCGGGGGTTCTAGACATTGCCGATCGCAATGGAGGCCGGATCGATGCTCCTTATTGGAATGCCATTAGGTACCCGGCTTGTCGCGGGGGGAGGGGGGTTCGATCCCCAACGTTGCCACGCCCGAAGTAGCGGGGCGATGCTCGGCTAGATCGGAAGACCGGCGGGGGTTCGGTGTGGCCCGAGGGGTCATTAATAATCTGGACAACTACGAGTGTTAATTGCATTGGGGAATGCTTTGTGTTCAAGAGTGATATTTGAGCATGTCTGGATTATTAAATGTCGATATGCATGATTATGCAATGCCATGATTTGTTTGTGTTTGGTGACCACGTGTGGTGTGGTGATACCGTTGGGTGCTTGTTAGAACATATATTATGTTTTGCAAGTTGGTTGTGCCAAGGAAAGGTTTTTGCTATTGAGTTGCTATGTTAGTAGGATTGTATAATTAGGGTGATCCGAAGGTACGTGTTATCCTAAGCGAGGCTTAGGGAGTTTACTTATTGAGATTTATTCACATTGCTGTAACTCAAACCTTTCAGACCCTCGACCATGAACATGAATGGCCCTCCGCAACATTTTGGGGTACCAATGGATTTGGAGCATATGTTGGCGGAGTTTCCGGTAGGTGAAGATAGGGATCCTGTCTTTTGGATGCCCTCTTTTGATAGAGAAGTTAAGTAGATCGATCACCCGATCCTTTTTTAGTATGTGTGTGGTTTGTAGTGAAGGCCTCTAGTAAGGCTTACTTGGTGTGCCGTTGTAAGTAACGTTATGTTTATAAAGTGGCTTGTTGTTCTGTTTCATTTGTCTCTTTACTATCCCGTTTAATTGAATGTTGAATGGAGTGTTCGAGTTGCTTCCGCATGTGTTACTCTTAGTTCGTTTGTATCGGGTCGGCGACTAGTCTTGGGAAGTCGCATACTTAACGACCAGGCGCGATGTTGCGAGCTCGTAGGGTGCGGAGCGTAACAGAACCGAAGTACAAGCCCAACTATTTGTGAAAAGACTAAAAAATGTCTTAGATACGAGCCCAACACACACTTACCTACTTCTAAACAACTAACCGGAAGCCCGAAAATTCGAACCAGCCCAACCCAGAATTCCCATGCCCGAAATGGTCGACCCGATCTTCGAGCCTTTTTTATTTTCTGTTCAGGCCGGGCCCAAAATTCAGGCTTCACATGGTGGATCTCAAATGGCCCCGACCAGTCCGAAAGTTTTGGTATGTCTATTCATATTTGTGATAAAAATTTATGAAAACCCACTTTTTTAATTTCAGAAAGGGGAAAAACATTTGATTCTTACTACTTACCTAAACTCTTGAAATAAGGAAAAATATGTTATGGAAAATATTAGTATTTATAAAAAGTAAGTAACCCAAATTAAAATTAAGTAGGTCTCCCCAAATTGCATTTAACATGGGTATTAGGTATAAAATAACACACGCAATTTGCAATAGTATTTTAAAAAAATTTAACTGGAATAATCAAAGAAAAAATGAAACGTACGATAAATCCAATTGCGTCACTTCCGTGCATAAGCATTTTAATACGCACTTTCGTGCATAATCGTCCTCGATAACTGGTAAGTGCTAGTACTTGGATTTACAAATTACCAATTTACAATTGAGATCGTTGCTCTATCATTTTATTATCGATAAGCGGACTTATTTGAATAAAAATTTTTGAAATGAAACTAGGGCTTGTTAAATTTATAGGATCATTACGATCCTTGATGAGCTCACAAAAACTTCGTAATCATATGCTTTTTGCACTTCCTTTGCTGTGTTCTTAGGTGGTATGTGTAAGATTTAATTCCATGTTGATAAAAATGCAGTCTCTTATCGAGAGATGGGGGAGCTCGCCGGTAATAAACATGTCAAGTACATATTGTCTGTTGAAAATGTAGGTATGAAATTTTTACAATTCTCATCTTGTTCTCTTGTCCACCTCCTACCGGTTACTGAAAATGACTTGGTTTATCTGGATCTGCTATTCAGCGTGTTGGAGTTCACTGATTTGAGTTTTTGGGTTATATCTTGCACTCAGAAAAAGGATGGTTTTGAGTTGGTGGTTTATGGAGCACTTGACATTGACTGGGGCATATTTTGACGATTGACCACTCTAGATCTTGTTGGAAAACTTGACACTGTGGATTCGAATGAAGTTGTTTCGTGGATCCTGCAATGCCAGCACAAGTCTGGTTTGTATTTATTTGTCTCGTCTTGGCTTCTATTTCGCGATTACCCATGAAAAACATGCAGCTAACAGGAACCTCCACCCCACATTCAATCAAATTTTTCTTATTTGACAGTATGATTAAGATTTTAACTTGGGATTAACAAATTCCATCTATTACAATGATGACCACGTCTTAGGAGTGATTAGTGTTGCTTTATTTATTTATATTCTAAAACTTCACCCTTAAGAACAAAATACGAATGTCACTTAGGGCTGCATGTGCAGGCGGATTTGGTGGGAAATATTGGACGTGATCCGCATCTGCTGTATACACTCTGTGCCGTGCAAGTTTTGGCCCTTTTTGACAAGTTAGATGTTCTTGACATCAATAAGGTGACAAATTGTATCCTTTGGAATAAAGCGCCCTAGATCTTCAAACTCTTACCATAGATGCAAGTTCATCAGTGTTATTATATGTTTTTTAGTTTTCAACATCATGAGAGTAATAAACTTACCTTCGGCTCTGTTTTGCATGTAAGAGATCGGATTATGTCATATTATGGAATTTTGTTTACACTTACTTTTTAATGTGTATATTGCTAGCCAAACATTGTTGTGCCTGAACTATGATTCAGACATCAAAGCTGTTGAAAATATGTCTCGAGTTTGAACCAGTGAACGAAACCCGATTCGAGATAAATTATAAAGAAGCTCGGTTTATTATAGGAAAGTTTGAGATTAAGCAAAGTAGATTACGATTTGGAATCTTAATCGAGAATCAAAGTTGGGCATGTTAAAGCTGCAAAGATAATATCAACTTTCCTATATTATGTTGGGCTCTTGGACTGAAATTGGAAAGTCCCACCTGGGGACAATATTCGGTCAACTTTGATTTCTTTCCTGACCAATATGTGCTGACCGAACTGGACTTCTTCCGTGGCGGTGATATTAATGATTCTAAGGGTACATTTCGGTCTTGCTTCTATATATATATATATATGCCGTGGCAGAGGATTGGAGTTCGGGGAAGCACCGTTTACTCTGAGTGCCGTGGGAGTGCTAGTGTCATCCATAGGTGCTGCGTGCTTGGCAATGGGTATAGGATTTTGTTCGTGGAATTACACCAAGAGTTCAAGTGTTTGTAGCGATTAAATCTTGTATTAAGATTTGTGTACAATTCTTTTGCGAGATTGAGAGATTATTTCGTGAGGAATTGTGGGGCTAAACACTGTGTGAGTTATTGGGTGTAATTGGGGCTTGGGAAACACTTAAAGTGTTTGAGTGACTCGAGTGTGGTTGTAATCTCCGTTGTATCGCTTGATCTATAGTGGAATTCCGTGCTGCTCTCCCCGTGGACGTAGGTCACTACGACCGAACCACGTAAATTTGGTGTCCGATTTATTTTCTTATTCTGTTAATTTTATTGTTCGATCACTTGGCTTCCGCAACAAGAGCACTGCAAAATGAAGATGAATCTTTCTCTGGTGATATGTGGGGAGAAGTCGATACTTGGTGTCTTGTCCTCGCCTTTGATCAATTACAATTTTGGTGCTTCTTGAGGATGTTACTTAAATAATTGACATCCCTTTCACCCCTTTATTTCCCTTCGAAGGTTCTCTTATTGTGCTCTATGCTGTATTGCAATACTAAAACGGTTGGATTCGACAGACGTGGAGAAGGCTGCGAGATATACAGTGAGTTGCAAAACTTTGGATGGCGGGTTTGGTAGCACTCCTGGTGCAGAGTCTCATGTCAGATAACCTTATGCTGGAGCTCTTCCGCTGGTTTCAAATATTTGATTGGTGCTTAGTAAGTCATGTATTTGCTTAAATACATGGTGGTCTCCCAATTATGCTGGTGAAGAATTCCATTCTAGGTCCTATCTAACCAACGTTGTATATCGTTTTAGAGTGAGAAGGAAACCTGGGCTTTCGGCAATTAAATGTGCACCATCCACATGACGGTGGATCAAAATGGACACAATTGAGCAAAAAGAAATCAATACGTGTTCCAATGACCACATCCAAAGGATAAACCGAGTTGCCAGAGTTTTAAGAGGACTCATCTTAGACGTGAGAAAGTAGGAAGGAATTAGGCATGAGACAGTGAAGCACTAAGGAAGTAAATTGAGATGCACAACTGCCTGACCAAGCACCTTGCTACAAAGTGTCTCATCTATCTCTCTTCTTTCAGTTCAAATCAGAAGATCGTTGCAAAAACGGATGCTTGAACATATAACAAAGCCGTGTGTACTTTGTCCAGCCAATTGTCCAGTCAGTCACGCAGTAATTTGACCTGTGGAATCCCCAAAGCTCTTGGATGCACCCATGAAATATATACTGTCCACTCAACTTGATCGATTATATGCCCTCATTAAGATGAACCTAAGTTGAGATTCTAATGATTAGACTACTGTAAAATAAGGTAAATGCTTCAATGTCGGTTTTTCGTTACTTATGCTAGAGTAGAGAAGGTGTAAGCAACTACAACATCCAAGTATTTGCCATGACGGCGAATGCAAAAAAAGGAAATTGTACTCTAGATTTTTAGCAACAGCACACTGATGCATATCCGAAGCTCTTCTGTTCTTACACCAGAAATAGTGGCGGTCAGTCTACAAGCATGAATAACTCAAAGTAATCATCCTTTACACCCGCACTTGTTGTATAAAAGTATTTATGGTTGATTAATACAAGCTAAGTCTATTAATAGGGCGCAAGTTCACAGCAGTCACTTCAGGCACATTTCGTGCAGCCAACCCACGAACTTCTAGCCCCTTCAACCATATGCAGCAGACCTCAAATTCCCAATGGAAAATACAACTGCCCAAAATATGTAAAAAACAAACCTGGCTATCCCATTTAATTCTGTATGAAGGACCGAAAAGAGAAGCATTGTTTGCTTCATTTTCAATCATTGAGAGCTCCTCACAGGCAATAAAGAGACAGTGGATACTCATTAAAGAGACCATTTCATATACTTACAAACTCTTCATGAGAAGATGCTCAACATCCTGTGTAGAAAGCTTTGTGCGCTCTGCATCAACATTCATGGGAATGGTTCGATCCTCAGACGGTCGACTCAAAAGATTTACATCACCGTTCTCCATCAAAGCTGTAATAAACTCTGTTTCCCAAATTATGCAACTTTCTAATATTAATTCAGCTCACAAATACACATAATTCTTGTACCACCCCAACTAACAGATGCACAACACGCCGGCACATGATTACACGCAATCGAGCAGTCCACAGAAGCATAGCAACATAACTAGACTGAGTTTTCCAGTAGTCAAACAATTGGAAAAGAAAGCAGACCCTTATACAGCTATTACCATATGAAGCTAGAGATCGAGCTCATGCTTAACTACGCAAAGATAAATCACACGATTACATTCAACTAAACACCAACTGCCACACCATCCGTGCCTGTTCTTCAGCGGTTAGCTGGTGATTCCAGAGCTTGAGTTCAGGCCCATGCCTTTCGCCACTGATGGAGTTAATGAGTGCAACCATCGGAGCCTCATGTAGCACCAAATTCCTCCAGCTGATCGGCACTGAAGAAGAACATGAGCAGGCGAGCGAAAAGTGGCAGTGAAGAAGGACTTGAAGCTCACGGACATCGAACTTGAAGCTCGCGAAGACGGACTTGAAGCTCGCGGACAACAGAACCTGGGAAAGAAGAGACGACGGCGAACGACAGACTGAAGCTTGCGAGGAGCGAGCGAGTAGCGACGAGGATTGGGGGACAGCAACTTGCTCGAGCAGCGGGAGAGAGGAAGAAGACAACGTGAAAAAGAACCCTAATCCCAATTCAATTCGAGATTTTGTTCAAATTTCGGACAAATATTGCCGTTGTTTTAGCCATCGGAAAATGTCGGCCGATGAACATTTGGTCGACGGACGAGCTCATAGCTCTTATTTGAAATTGACTTAGTCACTTCATGCTTTTTTTTGAGAAAATGACTCCGCGTTTCTTTAACGAAAAACTTGAAATTTAGAAATTGCTTTAAAAATTAGCCAACGGAAAATAATATTATTATCAACAATAATTTATACATAATTATTTTTATGAATAATAAAAATATTTTTCAATTATTTTTTTTAAGAGATGAGTATTTTTTTGAAAATGTTTTCCAAATCTTGAAATTTCCGTGAAACACGCGCACCCAAGCCCTTTTTTGAAGTCTTCTCCTCTTTCGTTTTCCTTGTTCCTTTGCCGACTCTGTCTTTCTCGCTATTTTCTTCTCTTTATTTCCCTGGTTCTGCAAAAGGAAATAATAAGGTGAGTTTGAGGTCCCTTTTGTTATTAGATGGTGAGGGATCGTAATATCCCCCAACCTCACCGCCGAAGTTGACACACACACACACACAGAGCATATGGAGATTCCAAGTAAGATGGGGCATTTTTAATGAGATTGTCCTTGGTTGCACGTTTTAGAATCGGTTCATTGTCTCTCTTCGCTAGAATAAAGCAGAAATAGAAAGCAAGCAAAGCAGAAGAAACAGCGATGATCTATGAATAGAAAGAAGGCGCACCGTTTTCTGCAGGGGATCCCCTGTTTCTGTTTCGGAGTCCGTTGTTTCTGTTTCGGAGTCTGGCGCTTGCTTTGTTCCATTCAGAATCTTCTCTCTGTAAGACTCCCAATTTTCGAAATGAAGATCTGGACTAGTGTTGGGTAACTTCTCACAATCTTTTATGTTTATCTGGCTCCCATTAGGTATTTTTGAGCTCGATGCGTCCAAAATCCTTTCCAGTGATCTGCACCCATCAATTTTCAACTGATCCAAAAACTCTAATTCATCGATGCCCTCGACAACTTGCAGGCTCGGGCACCGCTTAAGAGTTAACTCCATCAAGTTCTTCAAGTTTGACAAATCGCCTAACCTTTTTAATGAAGTGCACCTTCCAACGGAAAATACTAACAATAATTCCAACGTAAAAACAAATTGAATATCCTGTAGCCCTGGGCACCCCCACAGAACGAATTTTTGAAGCTTCTGTAGGGAGCTTGGGAAATGGAAGGCTCCCCTCCAATGATCAATCAACTCGAGAGCTTGTACCTCAATGCACCCCGGCTCCTCCCGCAGACAAACCAACCTCTCTAACGATCCATAGTCTTCGGGAAATTCAAGTTCAAGTTGCTGTAACGCCTTGTTTTCTCCTGATTGTCTCGAACTTGATGAAACGAATACAGTCTCCTTCTCCGATGGAGGAAGCCATACTTGTTTCCCTCGAGTGTCATAGAGCTCTAGAATTATCAACTTTGACGGAAGTTGTCTAAAAGTTGGCACGTCTACTCCATGTAGAGTAAGTTCTTTCAGCTGAGAAAGGGAACCCAACTCTGTAGTTGGTGCACGGACATTTGAAAAGCCAAATTGCAGCTTGCTCAATTTGGATAAACTCCCAATCCAATGCAAGTCGCAAGTTTGAATTCCATCTAATCTGGCCATAGATTTAGAGCCATCAGCTAGGGCCAGTTCAACTAGATTAGTAAGGAATGAGAGGTTAGGGACAGTCGGCAACGATGTAGATCTCAGCTGTAGAGTGGTCAAACTTATGGGGAGCTCCGGCAACTCTTGTATCCCATCACAATGATTCAAACGAAGTGTATGGAGTTGAAGAAGCTTGCTCATTGTACTGGGCAGTTTTTCAATCGGTGTGACTGATACGTCGACAGATGACAGGCTTGATAGTTTACTAATGGAATCCGGTAATCTTGTAATTCCCGTGCATGATAGATCCAGCTTCGTTAACGACTCTAATTTCAAAATTGAGTTGGGGAGCTCACTCAAGCTATTACAACTCCTAAGAGAGAGGTGCTGCAGCTTCCGTAACTCTCCAATTTGTGCAGGCAATTTTTCAAGTTCAGAACATGACTCAAAACTCAACTCAGTCAGTCGCATCAGTTTTCCAATAGAGCAATCAATTTCCATCAAAGACAAAAATTGAGAAATAGTCAACTTCTCTAAAGCTGAGTACTTGGGAAAGGTTGGTGTCCGATGTATCGTACGATTACTCTTAATGGTGAGAACTTCCAATTTCCTTGCCAGCTACAAAAGCCAATGAAACTTCAGAACAGACAAGAAATGAATGTGGATTTAGGCTACCAATGAGAAAATTAGATAATAAATCCATCAAATTTTGTCCTTCATTGAATGAGAAAATTAGACTAAGAAGGAAACCGGCGTACCTCGATTAGGCTCTTGAACACATCTTCCGTGATATCAAGCCCAGTAAGATTCACCACAACCGCGTTTTCTAGATGCAACAAATTGGTTGCCTCCAAACATTGACTAGGGCCACCACGAATAGAATAACTGAAACTCAAACTGATCCATTTCAACTCGGAAAGACAGCCTGTAAAGTCACCTTTGCAGGTTTCCCAAGACAACCAAAGAAACCGTAAATGTGGGAACCACTTTATTTGCTCCGAAGTGATAGTTGCAAGATTTCTCGAACGGAGTGCCTGAACGCTTTCCTGGGTCTGCTAATGACATTGAGGAGCAGAAGCAGGAATTTGTCAATATCCCACAATTTTATTTCGTAGAAGAAAAGAAAAAATGAAACAGAAGAGTAGCTCCCAATTCATAAACGTGAATCCTCGATTAAGAAGAGGTTATAGGCAATTTTCTATTCAGATTTGGCCATACTTTACCTTTGTTGATCTTAATTCGTAAATGATGTCCTCTTTATCCCACAATCTGGTGTGCCCTTCTTTGGCAATTACCCTTCCAAGATCTCTAAGCTGATCGTGCATCCAAAACCTATTACCACCTAAAACCTTTATCATGCACCTCTCACTAAGGACCTCGATGGCATCCTCCGGGCAAAACTGACAATCTTTCCACACGTACATTGGATTAGTCTTATTCTCACCAATGAAAAAGCATGCAACATCGAGGAATATCTCTTGTTGATTTGGCTCTAAGGCATCATAGCTAATCCTTAGCTTTGCCAAGACATCCTTATGAGGTGTTTTCTTTAGCTTCCCTAGCCACTCTTTCCATATTTCTCTCTTTTTCTGATAAAGCGATGAACCTATTACTGCAAGAGCTAAAGGTAATCCATCTGCAGTATAGACAATCCTTTCTGAAAGAGTGTGGTAATTGGCTGCAGGAGAGTTGTCATTGAAGGCATGCCTACAAAAAAGTTTAAGTGCATCCTCGTCGCTCAACCCCATCATTTCATAACAGCAAAATTTATTCTTACCCCTGGTTTTCAGAACGCTCTGGTCCCTAGTAGTAACAAGTATTCTAGTACCTGGATACAAAGTTTTCTCTCCGATTAGATATTGGATCTGGTCGGCCTCATCAACATCATCCAATACAATTAGCGTCTTCTTGTTGCAAATTGTTTCTTCAATCATATTGATCCCATGATCAATGTTAGAAATGTTAGGAGCCACACTATAGGAAGAGATACGGGACAATAATTTTTTTTGCAGCTTGACTAAGCCCTTGGTTTTTGCCGTTTCCCTCACGTCATCAAGAAAGCAGCAGTTTCTCCCAAAGTGAGGACATAGTTGGTTGAAGATAATCTTGGCGAGGGTTGTTTTACCGATACCGCCCATCCCATAAATTCCAATGAGCCACACACCACCGGAGTTAATGTCTAATAAATCGTTCATGGCTGCTATTTGATCCTCCATTCCAACTAAATCTTTGGTCACTCGTCTTTTTCTTGTCTCGAGCCTGACCACAACCGCTTCAACAACCGCCTGGATAAGTTCCCCATCGCTGCCACGAAGTTGAAAAGTTTCAATTGAGAAAAGGTGACAAATTTGCATGTTGACCAATCATCTACTAAGCGACTGGGTGGGAACGCGATCAAGTTTAGGATATATAAAAAGTTCAACGTTACCCCCAAAGCTTGAGGAACATGATGAATTACGAACTTGAAAATCCATTACAAGTTTAAGTTAAAGGAATAGAGAAAGAGAAATGTTTGATCTTTATATCAAGCAAAAGAATCAGAATGTCTGGCAAAAAAGGGTAGAAGAATCCAAATATAAACATCTAATGAATTACAGTAATAGAAGATTTACTTATTTCTTTCGACGTGGAAAAGAACTTTGCAAAGGCAACAGTTCCTTAATCAAGTTCTCTGGTATACAATAGGAATCTTAATACATACATGGATCAAATTAGTGTAAAAAAGATGAAGCAAAGCCAAATTTTTTACATGATGGAAAATAAGTGAAAAACGAAATTAAATAACCCTATTCGGTCAGAAAAAAATTTGGATATCTCGTGGTTCAAAAAAACTAAAAGAAGAATTTGAAACTTTCTGTTTAAAAGAGGGAAATTAGAGTTTGAATATAATTAATGAATTTTTATAAGAACTATGGTCCGATTTTACAAAATTATTTTCACAATCATGGTTAGAAAGTTACCCTGAATAATTATTCGGCTTCCATCCCTTAATGCCGCCAACTTTTTTGAGAGCCTGCCGCCACATCTTTATATCCTTGGAGCTGAACTTCTTCTTCTGATTCTCTATCTTCTGCTCCAAATTCAATATGGCTTCGTTGTACAACATGGTTTTCAACTTCACGTCATCAGGTTCCACGTTGTAGAAGATGGGCAATATGACTTTCTTATTCCCAGCTTTAGATTTAGAGGTGTTCTCCACCATCTTCGCCAGCTCTCGAAGGCACCAGTGACTTGAAGCATAGTTTTTGGAGAAGACGGGTATGTAGACCTTGGAATCATCGATCGCTCGCAGAAGATTGTCACTAATTCTTTCACCCGATCGAAGATCCTCGTCATCGATGAAAACACGAATCCCGGCGTCTTTCAAGACAACGTAGAGGCAATTAGTGAATCCACAACGAGTGTCGGGTCCTCTAAAACTCAGGAACACCTGATACTCACTTCCATATGTATTGCTTGTGCTCGTTCCGGTTTCTGAGCTCACCATAGGAGCTCACTTCGCACTTAGCAGGGTGAGCCCTCTCTCTGTGTCTCCAACAGACACTGTTGAAATACTTTCTACTAGCAAAATCGCACAAAGCCTTGCGGTCCTCGAATGTGAAAAGCCTTTATTACATTCTTAATGTAAAAAGCTCTCTCCACCAGATCATCCTCCCTCAGGAATTTACAAAAGGAGAACCAGGCCGCTACATTAGAAAAGGAGAAAAAGGATGTTTATTATAGGGACGGTTGTATTGAAAGTTAAACGCAACTTCGGTGGAACGTCCAATTTATAGTCAATAAAGTAGGTGGATTTACAATTAATAAGGTGGAAAACAATAATGGAGGTGTACATTTTAACATGCCCAATGTCTTTTGAGTTTCTTCTTCGTGCTTTTCGCTTTGTGCTTTTGAACTTTTGGATTATAAAAAAGTAAGATTCTCAAACATTTAAATCATTTATGATTATTCTATACCTATATCTATAGTTGGACATATTTAAAATCTCAATTCAGTATTGTAAATTCACAATTTATCTACATAAATGCATAATAACAAAATATTCCTAAAGAATCGCCTCTTATTATGACTCATGTTTCCTTTCTTCTTCTTTATTTTCTTCGGCTGAATTTCCTCTTTAAATACGAACAGGAAGAGCTCTTGATGTGATAGAGAGCTATGAGGGCTGCACAAAGGAGATTGGAAATTTCCTCTTAAAGGTTTTATTTAGAAAGGTTTTCTTCTTACCAAAATGGCTGAGTTGAAAGAAACGAGTGAGATAGGTATGCTATCCCCAAAACCAACAGGCACACCTAGCCATTCCAAGGGGACTAAATTATAGTCTCTTACTTGCTTCTCAAAAACGATCATTTAAGTTCCAAATTTTCTGATTCATAGGCACCACATTGTAGCAAGTGGAGAGCATACTTTAATCATATCACCATACTGAATTAATAGCAAGATCCTAATTAGAAGAGATCATTCTAGGAGAAGAAAGGACAGAGCTTAGGGAGCCATGATTTTGAATACAACATGATTTTATTTTCGTGGCTAAGTCTTGCCCCTTCTTAGCACAATACATTGCCTTGTATAGGCATACCTTGGTGTGGTTATAGAAGCATTGGATTCCTCTTATATAATAAGTAGTACAAGCATCTTTAAAGTAGAAACACTGACACTCTCACAAACATATCACATACCTATTTCATTGCAGAATCCTTCTTCAGTGTTGTCAGCAGAGCTGTCTCAGTTGTCTCCATCATTTTGCTGTCAATAAGCTTGAATAAGGCTGTCAATTTCCCATTAAGACAAGAGTTGGTTGGCTACCGGGTCATCACAAAATGAAGCCAATTAATTAATATATGTGTCATTCAAAAAAATCATAAGTCACATCAATAATGTGAGGAATTATTCGAGAATTGTACTTAAAGGACGTAATTGGAAAATGTGGCATCGAAAAAGTGTTGTGGGGAGTCTAACCCCTCCCCACACATAAATGAACCCCCCTACTACAATTGTCTTTCGTTTTCTCGCAAATGATCAGCCTAATTTTTTTAAATTGATTGGTAACCACTTCATCTCCTTCTTTGAATAAAACCCTAGAAATGGCCCAAAACTTCCAAAACCCTTTTTCAATTACATAGCTGCTCCTCCTGCAGAACAAAACCTCGGAGCTCAGGAACGTTGGGCAAGGCGCTACATGACCTATGTGAATACTTCAACATGTTGATCTAGTTTGGAGGGCTATATATTGCATCAAAGTGGTTGTTGAAGGTTGGCCGAGTTGAACAAAATGCTTTCAAGGTTTTTTTTTTTTACTTCTTTGCTTATTCTTTGAAAAAAAAATTACAATTGTCACGACTCGCCAGATTTTTTCTGGGAGAGGGAAAACGGCGTAGCCTGGTACGCGCTAAGTCTAGGTTTGGGACTTAACTCGGGCTCTCCCAAGCTCATACCATATCATGACTTGTGGTTTAGATTTTTAACCTACAAGTGATTTTTATCTAGGAGTCGCCACTAATCAGTTTATGGTGGGTCAATTAGACACCCAAGTAAAGCAATGGGAGAATTGTCTTACTTTTGCAAACCAGAGATTAAATAAGTTCGGGAACTTGATTACACTAGTTGAATAGCTAGTGCCCTTTCGGTACCTTTTATCCTGTTCATTTGAGAAAATATTTGTCAAACAGTTTGGATTGATTTTAGGACCTATCTCCTAACATGTAAAGTGATTAAGCGAATGCACAATCATTAACGATTAGCAATCAAGATAGATATGCAGCCTAAGTTTCTAATCCTATCTAAGGCGACAACATTCAAAACATGACCATTTGTGCAATTATATTCTAACTCGAAACAACATGCATAATAATAATACAATAGTAATAAAGATAAGATGCAAAATCCTACTGTATAGTCCTATAGGCTTATCTGATTTAGACATAATTATTAATCAAAATAATTTACATAATTTAGAAAATTATTAGAAAATACTAATTTCTAAACTATTTCCTAGTTTTCAATTTTTTTAAATAAAAAATTAATTAATTTTTAATTGTTATTTTTTAAAATATAAAAATAATAAAATATTCAGCTCCGGGTCGGGTCATTGGATCCGGGTATGGTCAGAACAAACCCGAATTCGCAAAACCGATTCGAATTGGCTGATTCAAGTCGGGTTATCGGATTCGGATCGGGCAATGACTGACCCGGGCTAATGAACCGGGTTTCGAACAGGATTAGGCCCAGCTAGGGCCCGGCCTGTTCAAAACGGACAAAAATCGCCAGTCCAACCAAGCCGGTCCTGTCAAACAGGACCGATTTAGCCGGGCTTAATGCGCTTTAGGCGTCGGGGACCTTTGACTGGACAAAATTCCGAAGATTTGCTGGCTGCTTTGTCCGGCCGAGGGTTTCATTCTCTTTAGCTCTTCAAGCTGAGGAGATTGGGGGCGACGGACCGCCGGACGGCCGACCGGGATGGTCCCCGGCAAAGCTCGGACTAGGGCTCGTTGAGCCCAAACGTCGATCGGAGCTTGGCTGGCCGACCCAGGTCATACTTTGACTACATCTGACCTCCAACGGCCATCACAAGGCCACCAAAGGGGACCGAGACCTGCCGATCAGCTCGGTATCCCTGGCAGAGGACTTAAGTAAAACTGATTTCATGTGGGCATTTGGTTGAACGCGTGGAGTGCATGACTAAAACAGGAGGTTTCCGACCTCTCTCGAGGCCTTGGCCAACTCCAGCAACCACGACTCACTTTCGACGGCGATTCTGGATCGAGGGTGGTGTCAGTTGGGCCGGGATACGCGCGAAACGGCCAGCGCGAGTCCCGGCGAACCTGCATACAAAAATAGGGATAAATAGGGGGTGCCGAGAAGCCGCACCTGTGAAGACGCATCAGGGGGGTCGCCGGCGGTCTGCGGGTGATGGCGAGGTTGGCTGGCTTCCTCTTCAGTCCCTGCAAACACTCAATTCACTCTCTTACTCTCTGTTCCCTCTCAAAAATCGCTCAAAATCTCTCTCACTCTCCCTGCTCTGTTTTTTTGGCCGACCCCCTCTCTCTCCTCTTCGCTAGCTTATATAGCGGCCACCGGCCACTTGCTTTTGCCCTGGAAGTCTTCTCCATTAAGTGCTCTTAACTGCTCTTTGCTCCATTGACTTTGGTGGCCAGACTTGTGCGGTGGAGCGGCTTCTCCGCATCTATCCTAGGCAGCCGATTACAGCGATAGGGAGGAAGGAGGAGAGAGGGAGAGAGGTTGGGCTGGTGGGAGGAAAGAGAAGAAGGAGCTAGGCCGGGCCGGGCCGAGCCGGGCCTAGCTCGCGCAGAAGGAAAAGAAGAAAAGGGAGCGGGCTGGCCCGCAGGGGTGAAAAAGGAGAAGGCCAGGTTGACCCAGCCCGATCCACTTTTTTTTCTCTTTTTCTTTTTTTTTTAAATTAATTAAAAGAAAAAAATACACTCTAATAATGGAAAATGTACTTATGTCTATATGCAATGTAATTAAAATTGAAATTTTTTTGATTTTAGGAATTAAGAACATTAATTCCTAAATTTTTTAATAATTAATTTTGGGTAATTAAAAATAGGTGTTAACAACGATTCTACTCGTAATTCTCTAAGAGATTGTTGATGTAATTATTGTACAAAGTGCCTTGAGTGTAGAGTGAAATTAATGTACTTGTAGAGCGAGCTACCGTTCTTTTTGGAAAGGCAATTTCATCTTGAAGGCTTGAAGTATTGCATTAATGGATTTAAGCCTTGTTGATAGACAGAAAAATTGTTCAAAAAGTCATAAACTTATTGCACGGCGGTTAATGCAGTTCTAAACTTTTCAATTTGGCAAATTTAGACCTAAACATTATAACGATTTTCGAATATAGTCCATCCTATCAATTTTGGTCGAAAATTTTTGACGTGACAGTTCAGTTAGTGCTTGCCGTATTATATGGCATAGCTGGACAACCGATGGCTGAAGTGAATGATTTTTGCAATTTCATTTAAATTTTCTAAATTTTTTTCTTCGTTTTCTTTTCCTTCATCTAAATAGAATTTGAGTACGAGGCGCTTGCCTTCTGAATCCACCTGGGCTGCTTCGATATCACCACCGTGAATCTTGACCCTAGACATCATAAATTTTTCTAATGTTTTGTGACTCAAGAAATTCAATCAAATGAGTGGATGATTATCGCTTCCATTCTTCGTTTCTGAAAATGAAAAGTGACTTTTACCCAGAAAAGAGAGAAAGTAGAAGGGTAAAGAGCAAGGACTTCAGAAGCTCTCGTCCTCATCGGAAGGTGATTACGAAGGTCCCTACAAAGTATTGTAGTTAAATGATTAAGCTTATGCTCCGTTTGTTTTATAGTATATGAATAATTTAAAAAATATTTTCTTAAAAATAATAATTTATATTGCTTAAAATAATTAGTTAATAATTTATCCCTAAATATTTTCGTAAATAATGACAATATTTCTTATTCATTTATTTTTTATAAGCAATATAAGTTATGATTTTTAGGAAAAAGTTTTTCAAATCATTTACTTTTTCGCAAGACAAACGCACCATTAACTTCTTGTTTTTCCTCTTTGATACCAGCCAAGTTCGTTCCTCCAAAGCAACAGCACCCCCACTTATTCAATGAAGCTGCAAGTATGTCAAAATAAAAGAAAAGAAAAACATTACCATTTTGGATGAATCGGTAGAGTGACGAGAGACGCAAAGCGAGAACAGAGAGCATTGATTTAGAATCGAA